CCCCTTCCCCTTCCCCCCTTCCTCCCCTCCCCTTCCCGCTCTCTTTTCTAAGTTTCCGCAGTGCTGGGCATGGAATGAGTGCCTTGCACCCTAGGCAAGCATTGTGCTGCACCCCAAGTCCAAGTTGAGGATTTTGTGTGGTGCTGCCCTCCTAAAACCCAGAGCTGAGGTTGACCCACGACAGCAAACACTCTGAGCTTCGAGGACATTCTGGGAGGCCTAGCCCTGAGCTGAGAGCAGCGACAGTTCTGCACCAGAGGCCAAGGTGGAACGCCTTGACCCTTTCCTTTGTGTGCCCCTTTGCTCTTTACATCTGCCACAAGTGCTTACTTACTACAGGGCTCACTTCCTACGCACACAGCGAGTCGGGTGTCTAAGAAGTGTGCACGTTTTTTCACAGATTAAGCCACTGGCTCTGTGATGCCTAAGGGAGGGAACAGATGTCAGAGATGGGCTGCGTGTTGGCTGCTGGTGGGGAATGGCTCCCACCCACGAGCAGAGACAGCTACTTACCCATCAGAGAGACCCACATGCTCAGGGCTGTCCCGTAGATGCTGAAATATTCCAGGATGTCCCGTTGCATGAAGCACAGCACAGATAAACCAGGCCCATCGCAGGCATGGGAGAGCTGATGGGAAACCACGCATGGTCAGTAGGCTGTGGGCACTGGTACAGGCCAGGGGTAGGTGAGGACTGGACCTAAGCCACAGGCCCCTTATTAGTTGTGAGCACTTAATGGATCTGTACCTCAGTCTCCTCATATGATCAAGAGGGCACCACCGGGTACTCCCCTCGCTTGATCTCATGGGGATTAAAAAGATGAGGCTTTTGGGGCTGGGGAGTCTTGGGGACTCTATAGATAACATGTATGTGACCCTCTTTCCCTCTGTCATGACTGGACTGAGGCCAGTAGTCACTCAGATGAAGCCTGCCTCAGAGGGGACTCTAAAATGCCATCCACCTATGCTTTCTGCCCCTGAACTCACTAACAGTGCATACGTGTTCCCCTGTCAGTCCTTTGATGCAAGGCCAGAGCCTTCTTTGATGCCACTTGCTTCTCAGGGTCTGGGGCCTTTCTCCCCGAAACCCCAAATCACTCCTATGATGACTAGTCTATACCCAATAGTGTTCTCAGACTGGGGTGGCCCTTTTAAGATACAGGCTGCTGAGTACCCCTGAGTGGAGTTAGTGTTGGCCATAGTGGCATACACCTTTAAACCTAGCACTCAGGAGGCATAGGCAGGCAGATCTCTGTGAGTCTGAGGCCAGCCTGGTCTATATAGCAAGTTCCAGGCCAATCAGGGTTACCCAGTGAGACCCTGTCTCAAAAAAAAAAAAAAAAAGAGTGGGGTTGGGTGAGATCAGGGTGGATAGGGTAGACTCAGGTGAGTCTGGGTGGGGTCAGAATGGGCATTTTCAGTAGCTTCTCTAGGCTGGCAGGATATACTCTGAGAACTATTGGTCTGAAGCTTTCGACTTCCTCTGTGTGTGTGTGTGTGTGTGTGTGTGTGTCCATCCATGTGTTATTTTTTATTTTTAGAATTTATTTTCATTTTATGTGTATGAGTGTTTTACCTGCATGTATGTAGGTGCACCTATGCATGCAATGTCCGCAGAGGCTAGAAGCAGATGCCAGATCCCCTGGAACTAGAGTTACAGATGGTTGTTAGCTGCCAGGTGGGTGCTGGGAACCGAACCAGTGGTCTTGACTGCTGAGCCATTTCTTTAGCCCTGTCTACCTTATTTTTTGAAACAAAGTCTCTCACAGAATCTGGAGCAAGCCCTCCCCCACCCCTCCCTGGGATCCTCCTGTCTGTCTCCCCAGAGCAGGGATTATCCTGCACCACTGTGACTGATGTGGTCACATGGCTTCTGGGAAGATGGAGCTCAGGTCCTTATGCATGCATGGCAAGCACTTTAAGGTCCCCAGCCCCTGTCTCTTCAAAGAGGAGGAACATTTTAGAGACCTCCCCAAGCAGGGGCTCTTTCTAGCACCCTCGTTCCTCATTTCCCCATACTCTGTAGCTGAATAGCAGGCTTTAAAGCCAAAGGCTTAGATGGAGCTGTTTTCCAAACAGTCAACTTATTTCTTACAGAGAGCAACTCTCCTTTTGCTTCACATTTCATCATTTTAAGTAATATTTAATTACATGACATAATTATTTTGACAAGTGTGACTGGCACAAACAAGCCTAGGAGCCAGCACAATCACCTCTTGGTAAGCCCAGCTCAGCAGGAGGGCGCAGGCATGCTGGAAGATAGTCCTGGTCTAGAGGCAGCAGGGGCCCCATCAGGAGCAGGCCCTGGGTGACAAGATGCAGACTTAGAGGTTTACAGGCCTCCTGCTGATTGCAGTTGTACCCAGAGGCCTTTGAGAGCATTCGGGCAAGGGACGAAGTTGGGTCAGCCCCATCTAGATATTTGATCCTGCACCCTTTTTTTTCTTTATTTTTATTTTTAATTA